TGGAGGCTTCGCCATTGCCCCTACGTGATATGACCAATGTCCAAAAACGACGACCGAGGTTTGTTTCCAAAGAGCAGAGTCCATCGAAAGAAATTTCTCTCAAGACTGAGAACCAAACTTCACTCGATCACAGCGATCAAAATTTATCGAAGACGATGATAGGAGAGCATGAGAGTGTCGTATGCAAACAAGAGCCGAGCATAGAGCATGTACGAGCTGCTGCTAAAAGCAGTTCACCAAACCAGGTGACATTGCCGTGCTCGTCGTTAAGTGCGGAACCTACGCTGACGCCGCGCCGCAGTCATTTGAATTTCAGCAGTTTCAATGGCATCGCTAATCGACCAGGGGATTGCAGCACGCCGCGCCAAGACGAAACCACTTTGAAATCAAATTGGCAACGCGCCTCTACAAAGACTAAAGGAAAACGCACGAGAAGCACTGCCACGACTGGCATTAGTCTGACCCGGACGGACGACACCAGCATCGAGGGCTCCATAGCCAGTCGTGCTAGGCGCAATTGTCGGCCTAGCTCGCTGAAGGAAGCCAGTCTGCGCACCAAACTGCGCAACGACACAAAAACTAAATGAAATTTTGTTTGCCTCTTGGAAATTGTGCTTGATCAGTAATGCATCAACTAATCTTTTCATGTGTAGTTATATTTCCTATTTAAATCTGTTTCCCAATCACTTTTATCGGATATTGATTATTATTGATTGATTACTATATATATTATTATACTAATTTCCTTTATCAATTGACAAGTTCCAGACTATCCATTAAAAAAGTGGATCCATATATAGATTTAAATTGGAATTACTTTGGCAAAGCATGGCAACAACGATAAATGTAAAATTGAGCGAACTAAGAAATATAAAAACCATTATCAACTTTTTAGAATCAATCTCTAATATGCCCAGGCTATAGTTGTTGAATCAAAGAAATTTTCATTTATATATGCACGAATTCTATATTTATACTATATAATTCAAACGAATCGCTTTTTATCCCATTGTCTTTATATTTAGGGAGCGATAAAAATATATAAGCAAGCATATTATACAGCGAAATTAATAAATACAAAATTATATTATATAGAAATCATTTCACAATTAGACACCATATATATCAAACATTTGTATAACATACACATAAATTTTAAATATATTTTATTTATTTTGTTTTTTTAGAGCTATAGCCAAAGTTTTTTGCTTTGATTAAAGGTTATTCTTGGAACATATACAAAAAAGAGTGTATAGCCTATACAGAGGCTGGTCGAAGCGAAAACGCGATTACGCTTAACAAATAATTGCACTTTGAATACAATATGTTAACATATGCAGTTTCTCATTTGGCCGGGCTCAGACAACCTCGAACTTGCCCAGGCAGCAGTTGAGATGGTCCACGGCCTGGCCACCGGCCTGTCCAGTGCTGGGCGCCTGTTCGGTATTGACTTTGATTTCCGTTATAATGTCCTGTATTTTGTGTATAATCTGCTGAGAGTTTTCGTTCTCTGCTGGCGATTGCTGTTGCTGCTGCTGCTCCGGCTGGTTGTTAACGACAGCTGCTTCGGCTGGAAGATCGACGGCTAGACCTAGGCTACCCACCAGTTTGTTGAGTGCATCGATCTTTTCGCGCAGCTGCTCACGCTCCGCCTTGAGCAGACGCATCTGCGCGGCCTTCTCGTACTCGCGCTGCTTCAGCATGCGCCGCTGGGTCTGATAGAGAGCGATGTATTCGCCAATGGTTTCGGTTTCGCTTTGCAGCTGCAGTACCAGATGCTCCAGGCTCTGCTTCTCCTCGGTCAGATCTGCAACTTTGCTGATGAGTGTGGTGAAGCGGGATTGCAGCTTTTCCACAGCATCGGCTGTAGGCAGCAAGGGAGTCTCGCAAGTGGACACTTGATCGCCGTGGGAATGATGTTCGTGATGATCATGATGATCATGCTGATCATGCTGATGATGATGATGATCGTCACCATGCTTATGCTCATGTTGATGATGATGATCGTCGCCGTGCTTGTGCTCGTGATGATGCTGATGATCGTCATGATGGTGTTTATG